TGGCGAGTTGGGCTTACTTGGAGAAGAAGGTCAAGGAATTCCCCGAGTTCGATGGCTTGGCTCGTGATCTAGCGGACAGGGGCTTCTACTACGCCGTCAACAAGCTCGACGCCGATTGTCCGAAGGAGGCCATTGCCGTCGTCGAGCAAGAGTACGAGTCCATCTGGGCCGACCGACCTTCTGACGTCGATAAGGAGGCTGAGGCTACTGAGGTCGCTACAGTTGTTGATGCCAATGCGGGCACTAGTAGTCCTGTCGACCCTCCGCAAGAGTAGTTCGGCTCCTTCTTCTGTCGCTTCTTCTCGTTTCATTATCATTTTTAGAATCAAATTACTGTACCGAGCAGAGGGATATATACCTCGGCTCTTCATCGAACTTTCAATTTTTAATGAAAACAAACTTAGCTCAGACTTGAATTATTCTCTCCGAGGTCCCCGTACTGAGAGAAATTTAATTAAGTTTCAATTCTAGTTTTGGTTTCGTTGTTTGAGTTTCTCAAGTCTTCATGATTCCTCGCCTACACAACGGCTTACGGGCTGAACAGTTCAGCTCGGCGGTGTGTTCAATAGAAATATCAGGGATAACTAGGTTCCTACGAGCTTACCATTGCTTCGCATGTTTGTAAAAATATAACTTAACTTATTGTAGGCCATTTAGCATAGGTCATACACATAGTCTTCCTTGGCCCCCATTTGACGTAGCTCGGTAGTAGTAACAACTTTAACGAATAAAGTCAAATTTTGCACGAGTCATTGGAGATCGGCTTTCATTAATGAATGAAACTTTACATATCGGATTACACACATCTCATTGATAATAAACTCGTAAATGCTCGGCATTCCATGGGTGGGGGAGTTGTCTCCCATTGAGGTCGGACAGCAGATACACTCCAGGGCGGAGTATTTTCAACACTTTGTATGGATCTTCCCAGTTCGGCTGGAGTGCTCCGACATGCTGCATTACCTTCCTGAGGACGAGATCACCAGGCTTGAACGTTCTGACTTTTACTCTGACGTTGTAGTACCGAGCCATACGGTTCTGATATTCTGCTAGTCTGAGCTGGGAGTGAGATCTTTTTTCCTCGAGGAGGTCAAGATTCACGAGTAGAGCTTCGCTGTTGGCTTGCTCGTCGAAGTTCTCAACTCGGGGTGTTGGCATGCCAACTTCCACAGGGACGACGGCCTTCAACCGGAAGGCTAGGCCATATGGCGTCTCACCAGTAGATCGGCGGGGTGTAGTTCGATAAGACTACAATACCTCTGGTGACTCTTCTGCCCACCGACCTTTCAGAGATTCCAGTCTCGTCTTCAGACC